GAGTATATCAATATGTAAATCAATGGAAGTGTAACTAATGTGATTCTGCAATCTGTATACGGGGTAAAAATGGGAGTTCATAACCCACTTGAATCAAAGTGTGAAATATGATATATCAAGAACTATGTAATGTTTTCAACAACCAACAATAAAAAAATAAATAAATAAATAAATTAAAAAACAAAAAGAATTTCCAGGGTGTTTTCCCGCAGAAATCTGAGCCACTCAAATTAGAGAGAAGTTTGTTTGAAAAATAATTATGGATATCATTTTTTGGAACATGGAAACTTAAAGTTTTTGAGATAATAGTATCACTGAGATAAGCACCAGCTTGAAATGGTGACACAGACAAAAAGAAGCCTCCTCTGGGGCCCAGATTTCCTAGTCAGGAAATATAAATATAAATATATATATAATATACACACACACACAGTGATAGATTGTTTGATAGCCAAAAATTCCTTCCATCCTAGTATACACAAAGGTGAACTCTATTTCTCCACATCATTCAGTCTGAGATGGTCTTATACTTGCTTTTATCAATAGAATGTGGCATGCAAGCCACATCAATGTTTATAGCAGCTCAATTCACAATAGCTAAGCTGTGGAACTAACCTAGGTGCCCTTCAACAGGTGAATGGATAAAGAAAGTATGGTATATATACACAATGGAATATTACTCAGCCATAAAAAAGAATGACTTGTCCAAACCCTAAATTAAGTAATCATGAAATCCCAGAGATAATAGTTTTTGCCACAAGGCGAAAACTATTTTCACAGTAACACTAAAACATTATTTGCCCTTTTCGCTATGTTGGCATTTGCAGTTAGATTTCTGGAGGTTTCCCACCATGCTCTAATTTATGAGTGGCTCAATGTGCTTAAAATCCTGGAGTTCTAGGTTCAGATGAACTTTTCTGGAGACCCTCTGCTATCTCCTGGTCCAGGGTCTGGGCTGTATGGCTGGCAGGAGACTATTGCTGGGAGACCCCTTTGCCTGCTGGGCTCATTCTGAGGGCTGGGCTGACAGGGTAGACAAAAATCTGGTTGCAGTTTATTGCTGAAGGAGTTAAGTGTACCATGTGGGACTCCACTGGAGGAGAATTCTTGTAAGCTTGTGTCTAGTTTCCTCTGGACTTTATGATTGACATAACAAGTATGACATCATCAGATCCCCAAGCAATGATACTTAAAAGTGGGGAAAGTAAAGCTACCTAAATGGAAGTGAGATTTCCCCATTTTGCTTAGAGGAAAATGTTGACGTACAAGTCACATATGTACCTTGTAATACACAGAGTCACCACTATGAGAACTGTGGAAAAGGAAAACACTCAACAACATTATAAGCCAAATAAAATGGAATCCTAAAAAATGTTCTAGAAACCCACAGGGAGGGAAGAAAAGAGAAACAGAGGACTGAGAACCATAGGAAACAAACAGAAAAACAAACCATAAAAATGGCAGACTTAAGTGCTAAAAATTATAATAAATGTAAATGGTTTAAATATGCCAATCAAAAGAGCCCATGATCCATGGGTTGGCGTTAGATAACAGTCTATACACGTACCGTTTGGCTTTCTGGAGTCTGTTTCCTGAAGGTCTGAGGAAACATGCGGCTCCTTCTGAGAGGCTTTGCCCGGAGTCCCACCTGGAGACCCTCCGCTGTCTCTCAGCTCAGGGTCTTGGGCTATGTGGCTGGCAGGAGGCTGTTTGCTGGGAGCCCTGCTCTTCCTGCTGGTCTCATTCTGCAGAATGGGGCTGGGCAGACAGGGAAGGGCTTGTGATCTGCAGGAATCTGGGCTCAGCTGTCCTTTCTGTTGTTCTGCCTCTTTTCGCTTGTTTTCTTCCTCCCGCTTTCTGGAAGAAAAGTCAAAGAGGAAGAAGAAAAGTTTAAAAGACTATCATCTGCTGAGTGGTCCCTACATGGGACTGAAATTTTAAGAGGAGCTCTCACAGCATAGGTTTGGAAATTCACATTTTCCAGGAGCAGTCTTCACCTACAATAAAACCCCTCTCTTTTTACACCATACCTTATAACTCAGAGGGTGACTACACCAGACCTCATAACTCAAAGGGTGACATAGTCCAAAAGAATCCTGCAGATTAATTTTGCACTGTTGAGACAGAAAGCAGATGATTAGCAGCTATTTTACTGTGTGAGACAATACATCACCAAGGGTATGTGTGTCTCACAGGTGTGTGTGTGTGTGTGTGAGAGAGAGAGAGAGAGAGAGAGAGAGAGAGAGAGAGAGAGAGAGAGAGAGAGAGAGAGGGAGAGGGAGAGGTATCTTGGAGCTACCTGAAACTCTACCCCTTTTCCTACTGTTCCAGAAAGCACAGCAGAATGCAGCTGAATGACAGGGATAGCCTCAAATCTGTTTTACTTACTGAAAAAAGACCCTTGACAAATCTTAATGAATGTATGAAAAAATTCACTTGCAAAGCATCTCCCAACTGATTAAAACACACCGTAGTATGCAGTACTACTACTGAGATCTAGCTAAGGACTCAAACCCACTCCCTTTGCAGATGAGGCTCAGAAGTTGGGATAATTTTCAAAAGACATAAACAAGTAGCTGATGGATAAGCTGCAACCCTTGAGTAGCAACAACTAGAAGAGGGCTGGGCAGGAGAGRCCAGGTCTCAAAATAAGTAGCAGGGTGAGGCAAAGGGATTCCAGAAAGGGCCAGAGCTTTAGGACAAAAGGGTTGAGCTAAGGGCAGGATTTGTTTGACCAATGTCACTAATTTGTAGGAATGGTCAAAGGAAAGATAGCAAGAAATAAACATAGTTATTTTATGAGTCTTGTCTCTACTGGGAACTGAAGATACAGAACAAGGATTAAGAAGTTGAAGTTCTCCCTAGAAGAACATTCTATCCAGAATTTCCATCCAGGAAATCAGAGACCTAACCTGTTATGGAAGAAATGTTATAGCAGTGTGCCTGCACAGGAGAGGTGGTGATACATTTTATCTGGAGGAATCAAGAAGTTCTCAAAGATATTTGGAAATCTACGAGGCAGAGAGGATTTCAGCTGAAGGAGGAGTTTGGTCAGACAGGTAGCATGGAAAAACCTGCTTGGTTTTGCTGCTTCAGATCTTTGATTAGTGCTTTTGACACATAGCTGGCACTCAATATATATCTGCTTCCCAGCTGAGTCACAGCTAGAGCTCAGGGAGAGTCGACGATTGCCTCTTGAAGGTTCCATTTAGTGTGGAATGATTGGGGTATGGTAGAAAACTCTGGGCTGGGAAGTTTTCTAGTTTTGCTTCTGCAGGTAACTACTAAATGACCTGGAATGAAACACTCTCCTGCTAGGTCCAGCACCTGTAGGACAGCTCAGAATCCTGTTTCGATTTAGAGGTTTGTTTGGGGGCAGCTGTCTTTACAAAATTTGGGATTTTAAAAAATGAGATGGAGAGTTGTTTTATCATCATGGCTGTCTGGTATCAGAGCCCCTCTTAGGTGAGCCTGTTGAGACAAATATACTAATAAGCCTGGAGACAAGACTGACGGCTGGTAGAAGGGAAAACTTCTAGGGCCTAGGTGGTGACCAGCTCTGAAGCGCTAGAGAAAAGGGCTGCTCTTCATGAGACAAAGGTTGGTAGCTCCTGACAGGGAGGGAGGAGTGGGAAGAACAGAGGACCAGGAAGGTGCGGGGAGAAGGAGAATATGAGAGAACTGCAGAGGCAGGGCCAGGGCAGAGGAGGAAGCCTCCCATGGTGGGGTGACCTTGGGTCTTTGCTCCCCACATTCTAATGGACTGAATCACCTGGGATATTGTTAACATTTTGATGTAGACACTGGGGAAGGACTCAATATTCTACATTTCCCACATGCACCCAGGGGACAGAGGTTTCTGGTCCTCTGACCATGCCTTGAGCAGCAAGGCTTTAGAGAACAGGAGGGCCTAATATGAACTATTAACTGTACAGTGAGGGATAAGAAATGTGAATCTCCCCAGTGACACTGACTTTTTGTAAGGTCTACCATGTTCAGCCGTGGTTTCCTATGAGCAACCTGACAAGCTACAGAGCCAAGACACCAGCCATGGAAGCAAGAACTCCCAAGCAGGTATAGAATCCAGACTTCTCCAGTTTGTGGAATTTGAAGCAAAGCCCATTAGATCTCAAGGGACTGGGAAGACCCAGGTGATAGACATCTGGTTAAACTTTTTCAATTTGTTAAATTCCCCTTCTGAATGTCTTTCTTCCTACATGGAGAAGCCCCTGACCTGGGGTCYAGGTCTGTTTATCTGATTGTCTTCTGGAGAGTCTCACTGCAGAGAACTTGGCCAGATGGGCCTGGCTAACTCCTGCACAGCTCCGATGTTTTCATTTAACCCTGGTTTTGTTAGATCTCGGACAGCTGCTGACATTGAGAATGCTGCACTGTGGTCACCATGCTAACTGGACAGCCTGTCATCATCAGTGCCAGGGATCATATGGATGCCAGCAGGGGCCACTAAATGTGATCTGTCTGGAGAAGGTGGAAGCCCACGGTGGCTGGAGTGCTGCCAACTGACCAGAGAGCTCCCTCCTGGCAGGAAGAGGGAGCAGCGCTCTTCACACAGTACAAGGACTAGAGCTGCCTTGAGAGAATGATGTTGGCCCTTTGACAGATGCAATGTCTGCTGTCCGGGTTGGCGTCTACATGGATCTCAATGATACTGAGGGAGGCTCTAAGGTGAAAAGTTACGCTCTGCTATATGAGCAGTCGTTTCTTTTAGGAAATCATACAGCTTTCTTTCTTAATTCCAAGAAGTTGGTTCCTGGGCAAAAACTTTTACTGCAGCACTTTCTGGGCCTCTGACAAAAGCAGCTACATTAAAAAAATAGAAAAAATTTAAAAAAGGATGTGGTTTTTAGAGTAATGAGGATATCCAGAAAACTAATGGGCTGTGCCTTCCAGAGGCTTCTTTGGAGGAGGAGGTTTACAGGGGAGGGATTTTCCATTTTAGAGAACTAAATAAGCAGAATTAGGAGAAATAATATAATCATCAAGATATATAATTAGGCCTTCTGTTCATGAGTCTACTAAATGTAGCTTTTAAAAAATTGACGACATGTTTAGCATTAAAGAAAATCTTCCAGATAGCACAAATAACAATCTCAATTGTCAGTATTGAATACTTGCTCTTCTCCATATTGTCTGAATCCAGCAGGGGTGAGACTTGTAAGCTGCTTTTGTCTAAGAGGTTCAGAAAATCATGGTTTGTGTTCAAGCATATTATAGGCATGAGCCTCTAAGGACAGTTCCTGTCATAAACTTGTCAAATGGTAATTTGCTCATGATCAGTATGCAGGGACTTGGAAATACAAATACACAAATGTATAAATTCTAGAGTATTTTGTGAGGATATGGGTGACTAAGTGTGTTTGCTGCCCTAGGTAGGGCTAGTAAGTGGTATACTTATAGAGATTCACAGTATTCAAACAAAAAGAGAGTGTCCCGTCCTTCCACTTGACAGATGGGGGAACTAAGGCCTAGTGTGATGAATGACTTATGTCAGGTCTTAGACCCATTATAGGGGCAGTTACTGAACATTTACTTACTGAATCTTACTATCTACCAAATACTCCAAAACACTGGAGATCCAGACTTACGACAAACAGTCCCTGCTCTAAGGAACTGACTATGAAGTGGGGGAACCAGATCCCTACACTTCTGCAGATAGATCGAGGTGTGATAGTGCTAAAATAGAGGTATCTTCACAGAGCTCTAGGAAGATGTGGGAGAAAGTTGCTAATTAAACTGAGAGAGAAGAGGCTCTAAATTAAGGATGTCAAAATGAGGGAGGAATGAAGTGAGAGAAGGCTATTCCAGGCAGAGGCAAGAGCACGAGCAAAGACCTGCCACTTGGCTCTCACTGAAGCTTTGACTCAGAAGAGATCTTGGAGACCAGTTGTTCATGTAATGTAAAAATTTCTTATATAACATCCTGTAGAGATGAYAATTCATGTCCTGCTGGAACATTTCCAGTGAGAGGAAGCTGATGACCTCATGAAACAGAAAAGGTTTAGCTGTAACCTTTTCAGTTGCTGTTGCATGGTATCTAAGGGTCTGTCAGAGTCTCTCTCTTCATTGTCAATGAATATCAGACATAGTAATATTTGGTCTTTAACTTCCTCCCAAGGGAATAAGAAAATGGTGTGTGTCTCAGGACCTCTGACTCATAGAATGTTAGTGCTGGAAGGGACCTCAAAGATCATTTAGTCCAGTGGCTTTTATCTTTTTTGTGACTTGTGGACATCCTTTGAGACTGAGATTAAAACAACAACAACAACAACAACTATAAATCCTCACCACCAAAATGAATATATGCTCCTGATATACTAAATACTGGATATAGTCCTAAGGGCATTCATGGAGCCCTGAGCCCATTCCAGATAAGAAAGCTCTTATTTATTTTACTGAAAAGTGAGGATCTGAAGTAGGGTGGCATGAGGTAGAACCATGGAAATAATTCCCTGTGGATCAGATGGCTTTCTGAGCACAGGAATCAAACACGTGGATCAACCCTAAAGAGAGGTGTTGACAAACTAGAGATGTTCAGGGAAGCAGGCTGCAAAAGGATCAGTTATAAAGTCAAAGGAATTCTTGAGGTAGAGTTGGAGTATTATAAACATTTCCTTTAGCTACCTGAATGTTAGTTTATGGAAAACAATTTAGACATTTCTCTTTGGCTTCAAGATGAAAGGCAGGAAGAATTTCCAGATAGAACACTCTACTAACAAAATGAGGTGTTTTGAGAGGTGCAGATTCCTTGTCACTTGACACAGAGCAACTGAAGAAAGTTCAGGATGACCAAAATCTAAAGTATGAGAGCATGGGAAGGTATTGGTAAATGGAGAGAA